TATATATGTATATAGGAGATCATAAAAAATAATGGTATTTTTATACATTGTTTTATATATATATATATATAATCTTACTACACTTGTTTTATTAGAGGAAAGTATAAGTTTTCTTTTTTCTTATTGAAATAATTTCACTTACTTTCCTGATGTTAGGCATAATTGCAGGCGGTATCTTTTATATTTCAAAAATTACATCGTCCTCCCTCAAAGTCCACTCCAATGTAACACTTTATCCTTTCCTTCCGTTGAAAGTCAATGCCGGTCAATTATAATTTTTTTTTTTTTTTTTTTTTTTTTTTTTGAAGATATCAGCTATTTTTTAACTTGAAATACCATATTTGCCCTTAGCGTAGTTTCAAGACATTTCTATCCTTACTTTTATTTTAAAATAACCTATGTACCTCCAACAAAAAGACAGGCCAGTATCTCTTCTTTGCTTTGCATCTCTTCTCTGCCCTTCAACGGCTGCCCACAACACTGCTTCCTCACTCTCCCTCTTTGCACTCATCCTTCTCTACAGAATACTACATATATACTTTCTCTCTCTAAACATTCTCTCTTAAAATTTCTGTGTAAGAACCTAATAACTGGAAAATGGATCAAGACCCGTTTCTTAAGGGTTAACTGAATTAGAACCCATCCAAATCCTTCCATTAGTTTGATGATTGAGTTTTATTTCTCAATCTATTGCTTAGGTTTCTGTTAATTGTTCTTCTTCATTTTTGGTTTGAACTTTCTATTTCTGGTTCAAACTATTTCTCTCTCTACAATTCTATCACTTTCTCTTTCTAAAATTATATTACTCTATTGGAATTTGTTGTTGTTGTTCATCTCCATGACCTTTCCATTCCAAAAGCTATGTTAGCTATATTTTTTCTCTCCCTGTGAATCTATAGCAATGAAGACAAATACCCCATTCCATTGATCAAACCAGTGGATTCACTTCTAAAATCACTAATTGCATCCTCTGCAAATTTATATTTATATTTATATTTACAACACTAAAAACAAATCCTAAAAATACACAAACCACAAAAAAAATCTAAACAAACCCTCCACAAAAAAAAACCAAAAAAACCCCTTTCAATTCCTTTCAAAAAGCCGGTCATGGTTTGAACAGAATCCAAATCCCCAGATGGGCTCAACTCCCTGCTACCAAACCCCTCTCTCTCCTCTTTCCCTCTCTAACTTAACTCCAGCTGCTGCCAAACCCCTCTCTCTCCTCTTTCTCTCTCTAACTTTCTTCACCATCCTTGTGCCCCCTCATAATACACAAAATTGACTAGAACAACTGTCCTCTCTCTCCACTTTGTCTTTCTAATCCCTCCTCAGAGTACACAAAATTGACTAAAACAACCGTTCAAATCTAGTGTAAATGAAATAAAATATTAGAGGGTGTTTTAGTCATTTCACATGGTCAATAACCGGAATAAAATGCTGATTAGTTTGGAAGTTTGGAGGGAGGGCAGTATCAGTTTTGAAACATAAAAAGTATCACTTGTAATTACGCATAACTGAGGTAAATGAAATTATCCCTACTTTTTAGATTTGAACATTTTCATAAAGCTGATAAAGGTCTTTCTAAAACATAATAAACCTAATTTTATTACTTATTTTTATCTTTATTGATTTGATAACAAAAACACAACTATAAAAGCAGTCATCAAACAGACTATAACGGCGAGATAAAAAAATTATTTGAGAGAGAACCCCCTTGAACAATAATAAATTTAAAAAGTTTTAAACTATCGTAACAGTCAAATAAGAACTTTAATATTTCTTGGTATTTCTATAGAGTAAATTACAACTTGATTAAAAATTTATGAATTTCTTTAATACAACAAATACATAAATATATACATAAAGAATATTCGAGAGATGAAAACAAAGACGAGGATAGTAAAAATTATGATTCTTGGTAAAACTAATCTATCTTCACAAACGAATTTGAGAGACAGACAATGGATGGAGACACAGCGTGATAAAATACAAGAGAGTTGGAGAACGTCAATTTGGGGGCGAAAATCAAATGGGGCAGGTATGCAAGTAAGGAATTTTGCCAAAACTTAGTGAAAGCAATTTTAGGATTTAAAAAAAATTACAAGTATATATAATTGTATATAAATAAAAAATTATTGTACATTAGTGCCCGAAACCGACCCATCACTCCTAGTTGTGATGTTTACAATCGGTAGCTGGCACACAAAATGTGCCGCAAGTTATTTTACATGGCCAACCTGATAAACTTCTATCTTAATCTCGACGTACACATTTGTTAAATATTGAAAAATAAATCATAAAATATATATTTTAGGTCGAAACAAACGGAGCAAATTAACTCTAAGTTTAAGATTTAAATTTCAGTTATTGAAGGAGATTTTGGTTCAAGATCATTTGTAAGTCCTGTTACCATCAAATTTACTATGTTTATGTTTGAAGGCAAAAACTTTTCATTTCTTTGGGGTAAATAAAGAAAAAAAATTTCATGGCCCGTAAAATAACAGGCCCAACGGAATGAGAACTCAGCCTGGGCTATAAGGCCCAGATAATATCTTTTTAAAAAATAAGATGTTGTGCAGAAGTGGCCCATCCTAAAAGCTAGAGCCCACTATATCTACTCAGCCCATGGATCAGCCCATACTAATAAAACACGATAGCTATAATTAATTTATAAAGCCAATTTCTTCCCATTGGCCCATAAACTGATTCATTTTATACACTATACACCTCTATTGTATCATTGCTACGCCTAAAGCAATCAATGATATTGCTTAGCAAAAAACTCCATCTTGATCATTAAACATTAGTCATGATAGTATAAGCTGTGAGAAAGGTGGAGTGTTCAAGTCCTGCTAAAATCAATATTGTACACGTATGCATGTGTTTGTTTGAACTTTCGAAAAGAAAATTTTTTTTTGTTATTGTTCACACTTTTGGGCTTTAACCCAATTTTCTAGGTGTCCAATTGTCCAACCCTCCAAACTCCTAAATGTCATTATCCAATCAACTACATAAAATTGAAACTTTGGGATTAGAATTGGAATAGATGAAATTAGAGAAAAGCAATTCACAAGATTGAACCAAAAAGTACTTTAACTCCATTAATTTTAATTTCGATGCTCCAATTCCATAGAGCCAAACATAGTTACACAACCTTAGTTTAATTTAAGTTATAGTGTTGAAATGAATGGAGAACTAACATTTAAAATTGAACAATGTAGTGCATTTTTGTTGGATAAATATACCAATGACATATACCTACTCAGGTTGGTTGGTGAGTCTCATTACTGTATTGCATAAAATGATTGTTTTTAAGATTCGGACCTTTTTTTTTTAATTTTTTTAATTTTTTATGTGTGACATAGAAAAAAACATTAAGGTCTAGAAATACTGATATAATATGGTATAACTTAACCATCATTGTAGTCTAGTGGTATTTTTCGTATATTTCAAACTTTAAATAGTATGGCTTACTAACTAAATACTTACACGTAATAGTACCTTTCCTTAAACACAATGTGTTAAAGGAAGGAAAGGAAAAAAAGAAAAAGGGTACAATGTGTTTAAAGAAAGGTACAATGCGTTTGAAGAAGATAAAAAAAAAAAAAAAAATAGTACAATGTGTTAAAATCACACACATTTTGTGATTTTGAATCTTGATCTTAGAAGCTAGGAGCAATATTGTAATTATGTACGCATTTGTTTGAACTTTTAAGAAAATTTTATTTTTATGTTTCACAACTATGTTTTTTTAAAAAGTTCACACTTTCGGGCTTCCGCCTAATATTTAAGACATTCAATTTTTTTAAAAAATAATACCAATACAAATGTCAATATCCAAGTCCATTTTCTGCTCCCCACCCCCTTCACACTTCAAAGTGTCATTATCCAATGTGACCTTAGTTTAATCTAACTTATAGTGTTGAAATCAATGGACACCTAACATTAAACACTTATCTTCTCTTAAGTCCAATCGAGGGTTGGTGAAGAAGATATTGGGTATGGCTCGAATGAAAATCACCATTCAATGAAATATATTCGGCCCACTTGTAAAAATAGCCTCTCAACAAATTAATATGGTGCATTTTTATTGAATGTACGTAACAATGACATATATCTCGGATTGGTAGGTTTCACTGCCGTGTTACATAATGATTGTTTTTAAGATCCTAACCTCTTTCTTAATGACTCAAAAATATGGATATACTAAAATATCACTTGACTAATGTCATTGTAACTTAATAGTATCCCCTCTATTTTCCAAAAGTAGATAATGAGGGTTCAAAATGGATGCATAAATCTCTTGCCAATGGAGAAAAATAATAATTGATATCACTATAGTTCATTTACTAATTAAATACTAACACGTAGTGTTAATGACTTCTGAAATAGATATATTTTTATTTATGTGACTAACATATAATTAGTAATACCTAATAATAAATGAAATATTAGGGATACTCGGGATCATTTGTTTCTTGAGCCAGTTTGCAAAAGAAGTATGGAACTGGATTGGAGATGTAATGGTCCGGGACAGATATCAGTTTTCAGGTTTAAGGGATTTTTGGGACCTGGTTCGGTGGTTTGAGAAACAGCCAAAAAAAGGCTTGGTTAAACATTGTTTATGGCTGCTTTGTGAAGTGGTGGATGTTCATGGCATCAACATTCAAGACCTGCTCTAGTAGAGGTTTTGATTTTGCTCTTCTGTTTTGGACATGGGATTTTTTCTTTAGATTATTGTTTATTGTTTCCTTTTCATCATCTGAGGTATGCCTTCTGTGCACCTGTAAATATATATATATATATATATTATTTTACAACCAATTATGAAAAAAAAAAAATAATAAATGAAATGACATTAACTTTTTTTTTTTTTTGGATAGGTAAAATGACATGATATTAACTTCTAATAGAACTGATGCCAAAAAAAAACAGAGTACAATGTGTAAAATGGAAAAAAAAAAACGAAAAAAGAAAAAAAAAGAGAGGGTACAATGTGTTCAAGTAAAAGAGAAAAAATTAAAGGACAAAAAAATAAAAATAACGGGTACATTGTGTCTAAGTAAAAAAAAACACAAAAAAAACAAAGGTACGATGTGTTAAAATCACACACATTTTCACCTACTAGCAGTGTACCAAAATCAAAAAATTCCCCAGACCCCAGCCATCAAATTCTTTAGTGCATCCTAATTCCTTAAAAAAAGCTCGAGTCGCGGCGTCCTTTAGATCAGCCGCGTCAACTCACTCACGACTCACCACCACAACTCGTCTTCATCGCAAATCTCAGATTCTCAGACCTCAATGCCCTGTTCACATCATCAATACCTACATCCGAGCACGTAAACACGAACCTCTCCATCCAATTCCGATCACTCGCCACCACATTCCGTACACTCCGCCACCTACAACCACCGGCCACGAGCTCGCACATCACTATCTCCTCCACCTCCGATGGATTGTATATATACGCTATATTTCCCGCCAAACAAACCCCAATCGACGAAACTTGAAAAATTTCCATCTTTAGTTTCTCAATCAGACACAATGGCATCTCTCCAATTTCTTTGCAGTTGAAGGTATCGGAATCCACTTCCCACAGTTTCACTCCGAGGCTGTCTCCGTCTCCGATCAGTCCGATGAGAATCAGACGGTCGTCGGAAAAAGCAATGACGGAGTAGAAAATGCACGGCTCGGGACGGAGATCGTACGGTCCGCACCAGGTCTTCGTCTCCGGATCGTAAGTGTGCGTCATACCGGAATATTTCTCTGTTACGAACAAATTCCGATCGTTTGCGGCGATCGACAGCCACGTCGACGCGGCGGAGTCTTTGAGAACCGCCGGCATCGACTGGCACGTGTCCCACTCGCGTGACTCGATATCATAGATCTCGACGGCGAGCGGATCGTCCTCGAAGTCGCAGCTGCCGCCGGCGACTATGACGCGGCGGCCGACTACCGCCACGATGGGGTCCGTCCGCCACACGAAAGGAGCGTCGGCGTGGTGCCAGGTCAGGTGGAGCGGATCGAACGAGAACGACAGTTTCGAGGGGGAGAGCATGTAGAGGAGATTTGAGTGCGATGACCGGAGCGTCGACACGTACTTGATCGGCGGCTGCCGGAACTCGATCCACACGTGCGAGCGAGGGTCGTACGCGTGCGCGGTGGTCAAATAAGGCGAGCGCGTGCTCTGCGTGTGGACGACGAGCCACGGCTTGAGCATGATGAAGTTGCGGAGGGAAGACGAGACCGCGTGGTTCCATGCCCTGGACACGTGCGAAGCCGGCACGAGGTCGAGGAGCGGCACGTGCGAGAGTATCTTCTCCAAGATGTCGCCATGAATGGGGGTTTGTTTTGCTTCTTCTTCGTCTGCAACAACTTTCTGAGTGACACTCGCCATTTTTAGAATATCTTTTGGTTTCTCTGTGGAGGCTTTGTGGAGAAATGTTGGCTATTTATATAGCTAGTGTCGGTAGTTATGATTCACGTGACCATGTTGGCTTATTAATTGTTATAATTGCATTCAATTATTTTTTTACTATAAACAAATAGTTTCTACGATTAATTTTTAAAATTTAATTTATAACATGGCAACTTAGTAATGCCTAGTAGTACTGTATAGTGTGGAATCTGAATCCTGTAGAAGATACAATGTATGTGTCCAGCGACACTGTTTCGAGACACACCATCTAGTCACTCTAGTGTGAAAGGGAGTCCCATATTTGATCAAATTAAACTAATTTTTTATAATTAGAAATTGTCTCATAAATAATGACGGTTCTACTTTCAGACTCTAATTATTATTTAAAAAATATTGGTAATATACAGTCTCCATATATTTTAAAAATGGTTAGTTTTTTGTTTTTAGAAAAAAAAAAATGAAACAAAACAAAATTGTCAAAGTTGGTGAGTTACTCTTACTCTTACAAAATTCCTTGCTTATTTATTTATTTATTTTTTGTCTCCTCTTTTTAATCTTTTTGTTTTATAGTAATTCAATAGAATAAATTTTAATTTTGGAGTAAAGATCATGTGAAAGGACAATAAGAAGTTTCGTGTGGACTTCTAGAAGAAGGGGTTGATCAACAAAGTTGCATGATCTTCCATGACGTGTTGGACTAACAAGTTGTCAAAAAAAAACATACACCAAGGGCGTGCCAAGGCACGCACCCCAACGTATGAAAAGTTTGTTCGATTACCAAAACAACTTCTTCCTTCGCAAATTAAATATCTAATTATTTTTATTTTTGATAGTTTTAAAATAAAATTTTCATTTGAAAAATCAAAATATATTACTTTTTATAACATTAATAACTATTTTTATTTTTATTTATTTTTCTTCGCATTAAACTTATAAAAAGTTGCATAACATTTTATAGACTACATATTTGATAATTAATTTAGGGTAAAGTACAAAAAAAACTCCTGAGTTATTGCCCTCTTGCAAATAACCCCTGAACTATTGCTCTCTAAATTATTGATTTGTTATAATTAAGGACAAACTCATCACAAAAGACTATTTTACCCTTTCTTATTAAATTATTTTTATTATATTTAAATATCAATTATAGCATTTACCTTAATTTTGTAATTAGTATCAATTTATCATAAAAAAAAATAGATTTGTAGCTACTATTTTCTAAAATGATTAACTTATTATACTCACTTTTAAAAAAATTAGTGTATTCATGAAAAAATTATGTAATATATTCATGAAAAATGAAAAAATTAGTTAAATTATTTCAAAATTTTTAACTTAATATTTTTATTTAAATAATTAATTTCAAAAATTAAAGGCAACCTTATGCAAATTTAATGAAGAATATTTCATCAAATTAGTATGAATTTATTTCAACAAGAAAAATAGATCAAGTGTAATTCAATAAGAAAGAGTACTATGGTCATTTAATGAAAAATAGTCAAAGCGATGGGGCATTTTGCAAATAAATATGATAGTTCAGGGAGTTTTATGTACAAAAAATACTTTAGCAGAGTTATTTATAAATTTGAACATAGTTCAGGGAGGTTTTATACACTTTACCCATTAATTTATTACCAATATAATAGCAAAAAATTATTAAAACCTATTTTGTTGTAATATTATAAGTAAAACAAATTAGTAACAATGTGAAATTAACATGAATGGTTCATCATCCACTTTGGATATGGCCCAGCAGTTTACTAGCTGCATTTTGGAGCTTAGCAGTTCGAGTCCCGTTGGATATTCTTTGTGGCTGTCCAGGTGGGGAGGCTCCCTTCCAGATTCTTCGGAATTAATCGGGTTGTTAAGAGCTCTAAGGGTTCGTACCATTCCGGACACTCCGGGTTAATAAAATAAAATAAAAATAAAAAAATTAAAAATAAAGAACCTTGAGAATTAGTCGGGTTGTTGAGGGTCCTAAGAGTTCGTGCCATTCCGGACACTCCGAGTTAATAAAATAAAATATAAATAAATAAATAAATTTAAAAAGAGAAAAGAAAAAAACAAGAATATTCATGCTCATATTGTTGCCTCTTATAAAGTCTACAGTAAGTTTGGACCTTCTTAACCAATCACCCAACTACCAAACAACTTTAAGAATATATGTGTACGAGGTTCGAACAGAGCAAGAGTAATACAGCACGATCATTGAATCTTACAACTCACAAATTTTACATGTATGATATGGTAATAAAGATGATTCGAATTCACGTGCATACGCGAGAAATGAAGATGCGTTTGAAAGTTTGTGACCCCCGTTGCCACATGCATTGATCATCAATAAGACTACATCCACCAGTTATATATATTCCCATCTGTTTTTGATAGCTGATGTTAATAACGTCACCTGCAATGTAGTACACTTATCATTTATAATAAGATCTAAATAGATGATATATTTTTTTCTTCTTCTAAATGGATAAGCACTGTCACTGTCAAATTAAACATAGAAATATTTATATCCATTTCATTTGCACTTTTTGATATATGCAAATGATAAAAATTCGTACAAACGAGCAGAGCTTTAGTTTGACAGACACTTGCGCCTGTTTGATATTATTATTTAGATTTAACACAGAACAAAATAAATGAATTTTTAAAATAAATGTATTTGATAATATTTAGAATACCACTTAAAATATTACGCAATAACTTAAAATATGTCAAAATTTGAAGTAACACCTACCTTGATTAATGCTTATCATAGAAGATGTAAGTTTTAAAATATTTTGTTAATGACTATATTACCTTCTGAAATTAAACATATTGATACTACTAGTGAAATTAAACGTATTGATGAACTTTCTATTTTCACTTTTCTTCTATTCCCTTCCAATTGATTTTTACTTTTAGTTTACTTCAATTTCTCAAATAATGTAAAGATAAATAATATTTAACAAAATATAAATAAACTATATATATATATATATAAATATTGAATTGTTCACTCAAATTTATAATTAACAATCATTCCATGAAACTCTCACACCATTGTTATGATGCAAATCTACTATATAAATAAAAATTAAATGATTTGTGCGTAAATTCTAATCCCCTTCTCATAAATATTTCATCTTCATAAGTTATTCATTTTATATGATGATTTTAAAATATTTATGATCCGTTTTGACATTATTATCCACTTTTAAATTGATATATTTATTTGGTGAAATTTATTATTATATATATATGTTTATGTTTTAATATAATATCTTTTATAATAATATTATGTGTAGAAGATATTCAAGGCAAAAATGTAATATATACAATATTTAGATTTCCGTTTTTGCATTTAACAAACAATTTTAATGAATTCAGCGCTTGAAATTAATACAATATCAAACAAGTTGTTTATAGATTAATATATTCCGTACTTAAAATTTTAGCGTTTAAAATTCAGTAGTTGAAATTTTTAATGCTTAATTTTCAGTTTTATCAAACAGCACCTTAAGCTATGATTGGAATAATGGGAAACAAAAGAAATGATAAGGTTAGTTATGAGATAAAAGAAAAAAAAAATGATAAGATTAGTTATGAAAAAATAATAATAAAAAAATAAAAATAAATGAGAGGATATGGTTAACCACTTATCGATTGAATAATCTTTTATCCTTCAGACATGGGTCTAGTATTTGGTCAGACAATTGAATTTTTAGAAAACAATATTTATACTGCTAATTTTTTCTTTTTTTTAAAAAAAAAGAAAAAAGAAAAAAAGAAAAAAAAAAGAGAGGAAAAACTCACTATTGCCCCTTCCTTGTACAACTTACTGGTTCGTCCTTATCCTTCGCATATGGCATCCTTCGCATATGGGGAGGAAAGATAAGTGGTCCATGTACTGGTGTTTGGAGAAGAGCACATCGAGAAATGCACCACAAGAAATTGACACCATCAAGTATGAACCACTTGAATGATATCACAGTCATTCTCATGCATTCTCACCATAGAACTATCCATGGATGTTGTACACCACAGATTTAATTTGGCATTCATTACTGGATAAACCAACACCATCAAAGTCTCTCTGGGTATTGAATTTGAATGTGAAAGTTACGAGTATAAAATGAATGAGGCTAGGCTATACCAAAATCAGGTTTTGAATGACCCCCAGGTCCCCTCCACTTTCTCGAAAGCCAAACCCTAACTGAGATAAAATGGGTTTATTTAAGGGGAAAGAAAAAAAAAAAAAATCATGATGGTCCAAACAAGTTCAATAAAAAAAAAAAAAAAAAAAAAAAAGAAGAAGTCAGATTGATTATATATAATGAGTATGACAATCATTCTTTTTAGCACACTCCATTTGGCTATGAATACAGAGACATGTTGGGTAAGGGAAGTAAAATTATAGATTTACCGAATGAAGAAAAGTAATTTGATGCGTGTATTATCAATAATAAAAATCACTTGTAATAGAACCAATCCTTTCAGAATAGGGCTATGTTGACCTCAAGATTGTGGTGAATTATCAAATTTAAAATTAATCTTAATTTAATTCAAGAATAAAGATGATTTTGTGTTAATCTATGTCTAAATTGTAATAAAACTGCAATTAAACTAATTTAACAAAGAATGAGATCAAAGTAAGAATAACTTAAGGATTGACAATAACTTAAGGATTGACTTCACCACTAGTCTTGTAACACGCTCAATTGCTTCAACTATTGCTTCAACTATTGGGAAATTCAAATTATGCATATTTGGGAATTGAATGACTACAAATACTTTCTAATTTGATTTCAATAAAATAAATTATAAATTTACATTAAGTAATAATTTATCTTCGGTTGACACGTGAGGAACCACGATAGGGAGGAGGGGTTTGAATTGGTTGGTTCTTCTTTAAACTTCTTCTATTTAGCTTGGTCAAATCAAGAGACACAATGCAGTAGATTGAAAGCTTTAAATCAAGTAACCAAGTTCACACATCATTTACAAGGAAAATTCTTTCAATAGGGGAAAACCTTAG